TATTTACACCTATCAATTTCCCTCCAAGCACTTCTTTTGCTGAATTTCATACATTTTGGTATGTTGCATTTTCATTTTCATTTATTGCCAAGTATTTTCTAATCCCCATGTCATGTCTTTTACCTATTGGTTAATTAAAAAGTTTAATGTTTAATTTTCATATATTTGTGAATTTCCCAATTTTCTTTCTATGGTTAATTTCCAATATAATTCCATTGTAGTAGGAGAATGTACTTTTTAATGATTTCAGTCATTTTAAGTGCTTTGAGGCTTGCTTTATGGCCTATCATATCATCCAGACTGGAGAAAATTCCATGCACAGTTTGGATGAAAGTGCATTCTGCTGATTTTGATGCAGTGTTCTATAGATATGTTAGGTCTATTTGGTTGATAGTTTTGTTTAAGTCTTCTGTTTGCTTGTTGATCTTCTGCCTAGTTTTCCTATCCATTACTGAAAGAGGAGTATTACACTTTTTAACTATTATTGCTGAATTGTCTATTTCTCCCCCTAATTCTGTTAGTTTTTGCTTCATGTATTGTGAGCTTCAGTTGTTAAATGCATATAAGTTTATAATTTTTATATCCTCCTGATAGATTGACTTATCATTATGAAATGTCCCTCTTTATCTATAGTAATGATTTTTGTTAAAGTCTCTTCTTCTCAATATTAATATAGCTACTACAGCTTTATTTTGGTTATTGTTTGCATGGTACATCTTTTCCCATTATTTTACATTTAACCTATTTGCATCTTTGAACATGAGATGTGTGTCTTGGAGATAGTATACAGTTGGATCATTCTTTTTTGTTTGTTTATGTTCTATATTGTGCCAATTTCTGGAGTGATTTACAGACTTACATTTAATGTAATTATTGAGAAGATATGATTTACATCTGTCATTTTGCTATTTATCCTCTCTATATATTACGTCTGTTTTGTTCCTCTATCCCACCATTGCTGCTTTACTTTGTGTTAAATAAATATTTTCTAGTATACAATTTTAGTTATCTCATTGTTTCTTTTGCTACATTTTTTTGAGTTATTTTCTTAGTAGTTGTCCTAGGGATTGCAATTAACAATTTAAACAATCTATTTGCATTAATGCCCACTTAATTTCAATAATAAACAAAACTTTGTTCCAATATAGCTTCATTCCCTTCCCCTGCTTTGGAATTACATCTTTATACATTGTAAACTAAATCTACATGGTTTTATAATTATTGCTTTATGTTATTGTCTTTTAAATAAAATAGGAGATGAAAAGAATTATAAACAAAAATCCATTTATGCTCTCTTTGACACTTACCAAGGTACTTGCCTTTACTGATACTCTTTATTTCTACGCGTGGACTTAAATTAGTGCCTTTTTATCCTGCCTCTGAAATTACAATTTGCAGTCTATTTCTTCACATTAGCTGGCTTGTCATCACCTAATGTCAATTATGTTAAATTCTCTGAGAAGAGTGTTGGAGGTTAAAGGGCAGTAGAAGAAACTGTGAGAGTTGAGATGAAGAAAGTCTTTCAAATTTGGAAAGACTTTGGAAAGTTGAAATTTAGTTTCTGACTCAAATATCTATTACAGTTCACCCCCTAGTTTGTCACACAGTACCAGACATATAGTAGATGCTTAATAACTATTTGTGAATAAATTAACATGAGTCCACATGATGATTAAGATTGAAGTGTTGAATTATGTGAAGGCTAGAACTGGAAAGAATGCTGACAGATGTCACACAGGGTCAAGTAAACTAAGATAAATCACATCTTAAAAAGAGGAGTTTTAGAGAAGAGTCTGTAGAATTTCTAGACTGAATGAGTCCTCTGAGTCACATTGTCAAAGAAAGAGAGAATTTAAGACATTGATTATAGCAAAACATTGGATAATTCTTTTAATGAGGCTTAAAGTTCTTGAGAAAGTCAGACAAGGACACACTTTGCTCCCTAAAAACCATATACTTAATAATTCCAAAGTATGTAGCAGAATCCATGCTTCTCCTTCATTTTAAGCAAGTAGGACAGGCCCTCCATGTGATGGCTCACTTGATGTAGCCTATGGCAAACATGATGCCTAGGAACTCTGCTTATAGACATTAACAGTTGGAAATTGAGAGTTGCTCAAGCAGAATTCTACATAATCACTCATTTGGGGTTAATTTACTTTATTGTGGCTGCTAAAGTGAGCTCAGCTGAACTTGCCATTTTCCATTCCAATCTGTTTTGTAAATGATTTTAGTTTCACAGCCCAGGCATTTTACTGCAAATCTTCTGAATCATGTGGCTAGTACCAACCAGGACAATTCAGCAAAAGAATGTGGATTATTTTTGAACCTGTAATACAATTTTAAACTTATTTTAGAGTTTGACACATGGAGAACTATAAGCTTAAACAATGGATAAGTAAATTGGTTGGGGGTTGGTAGTTATCCAGTTATTCAACAAACATTTTTTGAATACTTTCTTTGTACAAGGTACTATGTTAAGTGTTGGGGATACAATGATGAACAAGACAGATTTAGGTACCCCCAAGGAGTTTTAAAGTTATGTCAGTCTGTACATAAATGAATAAGCAAACATACGCATCTATTACATGTAATGCACATGAACCAGTAAAAATATGGAACTAGGGAATGCTCTTACCATTGAACATTCCTAGTCAAAATCTCGATCTCAATCTAAAATATCTTTATCCTCAATGTTCATTAAATGCTTTTTCTCCATTAAGAAAATTTTCAAATTCTAATTTGTCTATTAACTTTTCCCTAAGTAACTGGCCAATGCATTCCCCTATGCTTCTGTATCTAAACTTTTCCAGCACTTTCTCTTATATTTCTACTCACTTTTTTTTATAAAGTATTTATTGAGCAACTGATGTATGCTAAGCATGTACTAATTGGAGGGATACAAGATTAAAGCTAGAGTATACTGTCTTCATCTTAGTAGAGTAGAAGAGATAGACAAATAAAAAAGTCATTATAATATTAATTAAAATTGCTAAGAAAGTAATCAAATACACTAATGCAAAACATGCTTGTTGTTTTAGAAATATAAACAGATTAGTTGTGTGGGGGAATTGGCCACCCCACGATATGTCTCTTTGGCATGAAGATTATTTGGGGCTGGTTACTTTTAAAAACTGCAGACAGGAAAGAAACTCTGAAAAGCAGAGTTCACTTACCCTTTGTTAAGAAACATTTACCTTGTAAAGGAAATCTCCATCTGCAAAGGTGTCTCCCTCTCTGTACAGGAAGAAGGGGGATGACCTTATCTCTAGAAACTCTTATCAATGCAGAAGGCAAGGACTTAAATCTGCATAATAACCTGACCCTTGTTCACTGTACTTGTCTGGTAATCTTCAGTAACTGACTCCCCCCATCCCCAACATCCTCCTCTGTTTTTAGCTGAAGATGATATTTAAGGTAGTGGCTTCAGCCATTTTGGTGAGTTGCTCAGGTTGCCTGAGCCTCTCCCGTGTATACATGTTATAAAGCTTTGTTTAATTTTCTCCTGTTAATATGTCTTATGTGAATTCAATTTGTTCTCTGGCCAGGAGAACTCAGAGCAGGTAGTGGAAATGTTTTCCTCCCCTACAGTTGAAAGGCCAAATAACAGCATATACTAATATGGTATTTTATTTAACAAATACTTTCTATGATCTAGGCACTTGAATACATCTAATAAGTGTAACAACCCTGTGAGATAGATGCTATATAACCCCACTTTAAAGATGAGGCACAGAAATTGAAGTAATTGACAAAATTCATGTATCTAATAAGTGTTGGTACTGGTTGCATTTATAAAGTCATAAAAGAAATGGCTTCTTTGCAAAAATAGAAGAAAAGAGAAAATTTTGAAATTATGAAACATGCAGGGTTGAAACATGCAACGGTTGCTGATATCCAACCAGTAAAAGATGATCTTGAAAAATGCTTTGAATAAGCAGGGCTGAATAGGACCCAGATTAAGACTCATCCTCAGCTAAAAGATTGTGAAATCCTTTTAATGAATTAAAGTGACCAGAGTAAATCCTTTCAACTGGATAAAATACATCAGAGAAAACAGACTAAGAGGGTGGCTTTCTACAAGCCTCATAGGCTCAAAGTACTGGCAATAAGTTTGGAGAAAGATAGAGATGAACCTCTAAGAAATGTGGCATTTCAAGATACAATTTTCAAGTACAAGAGGCTGAGCTATATCCTTTGTACCACTACATGTGTTTGTTGGTGGTTTCCTTCCAGTCATCTTGATGCTTAAATGCTCCCTGCTCTGAACCAGATCCCCCTCCACCATGCCTTCCTCTGATCCTCCGGGCTTACAGATATTGCAGTGATTTTCACTCTGCATCTGACTGTGTCACCCCCTCTAGACTATGAATTCATCAATGGCATAGATTGGAGTTTTTAGCTTTTTATGAGACACGCATGCAAAAGACATATGATGAATATTTGATGAATGAGTAACCAACTGAATGAATACAAACATTCACTGACATGGCCAAACAATTACCTAACAATTTCTTTCCTCCCAAATCAGCAGCATAAACAGTTTCTAATATTCTAAATTCTGCCTGATTCTTCTACTATTGTAAAAAACAAAATAAGATATTTGAAGATGGAGATTTAACCTATCTGTTAAAAACAGATTACGTAAATCTCATCAAAAATACAATGTTCTAGACTCACAGTCTAGGGAAACTTTAAAGGAATTTTTATTTGCCATTCCTTATAAAAAGTAAAATTAATTATATTAGTCCTGGACAAAAATTAAGTCAATTAATCTCAGAGGTTTAAGATTTAAAGTTATTACAGTGGTTTATAAAATATGTTCCCTAAATATCACTCTAAAAAAAATGCCTAGATGTATTTGCATGGCTAGGGACTCATTATTTTAGCAGAGCACACAAGCTTTTGCTAAGCATATCATGTTCATTTAATCCACTCTTAAATTTTGTTTTTAAGCACTTCCTAAAGAAAACACACGGAAATTATTTGAAGTTACATACCTGTCGGCACCAGAGTTTACGAAATATTTGCAGATAGGCCAATACCATAAGACACAGCGGTGCCATGTATGTCACCAGAAAGAAACAGATATGATACATCTTGGGGTAAATTTCACCTGGAATAAGAGTCAAAATAATAAAGTCTTATAATTCATAGATCTTTTTTAAAGATGCATCTGTCAATATTTTTGCTTCAAAGTACTCATTTACCTTTCATATTACTTCACTGGCCTGTTATGTACACAAAAGGAAAAACAGCTTACAATATTTAACTACTTACATTTGCTCAATACATGTGTATACATATACTAAATGTGAAGTCTTAATTTCATTTAATGTACTCAGGGAGGAATAGCAATTTGCTATTTCTTAATTTGTGCTGTCACAGTCTATCCAAAGTTGTGTTCATTTCCCAAATGGTCCTTTTTGTCTTGATTACTTGTGACTAATTAATAAAAATTAATTTGACTTGTCTTATAGTTGTTACAAGAAGTCACACGATTCTACCAAAACCTAATTACTAACGCTTTTGTTAATAATGGAAAGAGAAGGTAAACTCAGTTGATTCCTCCTCATTAGAATGTGTTTCCTAAAAAAGGAAAGCTATTCCAAGTTGTACGTGTAAATGCAAATGTAGAAAAATTTTGGAAAAATAAATACAATAAACATCTGATAATGATTATTTTTTTTGACTTACTAGAACTCAGATTTCCTAAGTATGTTGTGTATGTGTTTGTGTATATGTATGCATGCATGTATTTTTAATAAAAATGAGATTTTTAAGGCTTTTTAAAGTTAGTTTTCAAATCAATATGGGTATTTTTTTTGTATTCGTCTCACTTATTAGGCATTAGCATCTCTAGGATTGTAGCGATTTCTTGTTTATCACTAGTTCTATGTACATAGGTGATAAGTATCACAGATTAGGCGTTTATTACAGAGTCAATCAATTAATGAATGGCATTGTGGCTTAATATTAAGAATAATAATTGACAGCATTTATTGAACAATTATTCATTTAATTTGTACTGAATATGTTTCAAACATATCTCTGAGTTGAATATCCTGCCCAATCTTGATTTCATAGCCATATCTTCTAGAGTTGGTTGGGTTTAATATTCTCATTCTTCCTTCTAAAATTCTGTCTTCTTTCTTGGATAGATGTGTAATCTTTGGAGGGGACAGCAGGGTGTGTGTGCCACTAGAAGGTCTAAGAGACCAATTTGAGGTGTCATTTTTAGCTTCTCCGAGGCCCAGGTGGTTCACACCTTGCTCATCAGTTTCTAACTTCCTTTCAAGTTATCCTGTAAAACAGCCGAGTTACATAAAAAGTGATAGAATTCCAGCAGCCTGACTGGAGAAATAACAAACAGCCTTTCCTCTGAAGTGCTACAGCCTGAGCAGCATTTGGCCAGCCAATTTCAAAGGAACTGGAGAGTGACCTCAGCACTTCTCAGGCACCTGAGTGGCTTTGAACTTTTATTTGTTTTGATGAAGTTGTCACATGAGCTTCCCACATAAAAATATACCTTTGAAGCTTACATACTGGTGAAGCCCTGATGTCTGCATCAGACTAAATTGAGTGAGTGGAGGAGGGTACATTTGATAGGTTAATTTTTTTTCTAACTGCAGCTACAGATACCATCACTGTGACAACGGTTTATAGTTTTAAACAGATGGGAAGAGAGCTCATTCTACCGTTCGGTGTATTTATGAATAGTTGCAAAATACGTAGTTGACTGGCAAATGCATATGATGATAATGACTACCTACACAGAGAAAAGTTGATCAAGCAAAATTATGCTTGCAGGCTAGGCTCCATTGTTGTAATAAAGAGTTTATTATAGATAACTGGGGAAACATGATAGTCTGAAATTCCTCATTTCATGCTTACAGTCTAAGCTAATTTAAAACCCAGAAATGCCATTGAAATTTTAAATTGTGTGTATTGAAACTACCTTTGAAGTCTCTTTGCCCTGGGTGAGCAACGTCTTCAATATATTTTAAGACATTTTTATGTAACCTAGAATGTGGCTACAGAAAATTTGCTCCACTTAAGCATTACCTAAATTAGAAAACAGCAAATTAAAGATTGACAACCATTAAAAATCGGTGTCTTTACTAAGTAAAATCATCATAATAAACTAAATGTCTAGTGAGCAAAATGCTTTGAATTCTTTTATATTTTTCTTGAAAACATTAAGTGATTAACAATCCATTTAATATTCAAAAAGCTAATTTCATAGACTCTGATTTTGTGGATGGTCAACTCAATTTAGTATCACCTATTTTAGCCTTTATAATCATTTTAAGTACTTATGGGCTAATATTAAACCACTTTCACATAGCTTTTCTAAATGACTTCTGAAGGCTGAGTTTAGATTTTTTGGTATTCAACAAAAATTCCTTGTTTTAAAAGAAATGTCCATGCTAGAGCTAGCTAATAAAATGATAGAGGTTGAAATGAATTTTATGTATTTATATTTATTGCTCAAAGGTAATTAGAAAATGATGTGGCTATTTACTTAATCATGAGTACTGACGGGAATGCCTAGCTCGGCAGTCTTTTGGTTAGCAGGGGTTAATGCTACTTGACTATTCAGGGCAACATAAAAAAAAGTTCATAAAAGCAGCTCATGTAAATGAAACTAATTACCAAAATAGTTTAGAGATAATGCTCCTGACATACATTAAATAATAGGTGGGTATTTTATCTAATTTCCATCTCGATAAATTTAAAGGATCCCGACTTTTGAGTTAGAAGCTTAGATTTAGATATATTTGTCTGCTTCAAAATCTTGACCAACCAATTTAATTTGTGGCTCAGTTTTATCATGAATTAACTAAAGCATTCTGCTCCAGAGATCTTTAGGCTGTTTTCCAAATATAACTCACTGTATAGAAATTGCATAAGAGACATGTCACAAATGGTCCCAAATCCATCTTCTTTCCAAACAATTCTTTAGACTTCATACTCTACATTCCAGAAGCTACAAGTGTGGACCATCTTGCTTTCTTCTTAAGTGATGGGACCCATGGTGTGGGTTTTCTTGGTCCTTGGAACACCCTTTTCCCTGTCTGGAGAATTCCTGCTCGTCTTTAACGCTTTGCTGAAAGGTTAGCACCTCCTCTGTAAACTTGAATTCAGATGGCCAGGACTGTCTGTCCTCTCACTTGTGCTCCTAGCACTTTGTATATCAGTATATTAGAATGCTAATCCCTCTGTAAACATTTGTTTATTTGCCTTTCAGCCTCACTGGATAGAATGTGTTCCCTTAGGCAGAGTCTATTTCTCTCCAGGTTGGCACAATTCCTGGCATATCCTAAGTACTCAAGATGATGTTTGAACATTAAACAAATGGGACTTAAGACGCTTAAGAAATATTCCTACCATTTTGGAACTTTCCATTCATTTTGTTTTTGTCTGCACTGTTAATGGGGAAAGTTGAAAACACTGAAGATGATCCAGAGAAAGTACAGACACTTTCTGTTAAAGAAATAATGTTCTTAACATTAACATTTAATGTTAAAAGGGAACAATGTTACAAAGGAACAAGAAAAAAAGAGTATTTAACATTTGAGGTAATAGATAAAGCAAATTGTGCAATTTTGGTTTTTATAGGTCTTTGGATAATATATGAAATAATCCCAGTGTCTTTTAAATTTTATATTGCCATAGTGAAAGCATACGCCTAATTTTGCAGTTGCTGACTTTTTCCCTTTCCAGTGTGCCAATAAAAGTACCAAGGTAGGAATTAACATAAATTCAAAGATTCAAATACTTGAAAATATCAGATCCATAAGGAATCCTTTGCATGCACTGTTTTTTTGATACATTTTTCTAACAAGTTTAAATGTACAGCTTTCTAATAAACAAATTCTTTCATAATGTTTAAATTCCGTAAATATGAGCCATTGTTACATACTTATCCAGAAGAGGGCAGATTGTTCTCCAATTCCACGGGATAATTTTGTAAGTAGTGCGTGATATTCTGAAATGCAGGACTATTTTATTTCCTGTCATTCTTTGCTGTGTCCAGATTTGTGCCATCACCAGGCACTGATAAAAGCTTCCTTACTGATAGAAAGATTTCTGCTGTTACAGAAAAACTGCAAAGACTGTCACTGAAAGTTTTGAACCAAAGCAGCACAAGCACTCCTAATTTCTGCTTTTTTAAATTTAATTACCATACCTATGATGGGAAACCACAAAGGATTCCTAATTAATATAATTCTTAAATCATATAATAATTATGCCACTGGTAAAATTTATCAATTTGGTATGTTATGAATAGAGGAAGCAAATCTAGATAATTTGGCACAGAGAACATATGTCCACATACTCAACTCCAGTCATGTTCCTAGATAGGACATGGTTTAAAATGAAAAACTTCTGTTGTATTTGAAGCCACTAGGGAACTTGACACTTGAGGCAAGATAATGTACCATCTTATAAAATGCTAACCACTCCAGAATACATATTTGGATTTGTATAAATGAGTCCTTTTCATTTTAAAGAATTTAAGAAAAACTAACATAACCAAATCTGAATTGTGGAATAAGCTCCTCCTTTCTTTCTCTATCTGAAGACTAGAGAATAGTGCATAGCATTTCTAAGGGACCGAGACAGGTAGTTATTCTGCGAAACTATTTGGGATTTCAACTTGTTTTCATGCTTTTGCAAAACTATATTAACAAATTCCAATAAAATATATGAGGCCAGCTTTACAATGGTTATGCAAATCAAATGTTCAATCTGCAGCTATAATATCAATGTCAGCTTGTGGGCCATGATGTACTCACCACCCCAGCGTTCATCACACACTGTAAAGAGAGTGGTTTTATTGGCTAAGCCGGGGAGCATGGTGCTGCACTCCATGACAATGGCCTGAGGAATCATTATAATGCAGGAGACGATCCAGATGATGACGATGCTGTTCCGGGCCCGCTTGGCCGTGCTTTTAAACATCAAAGGGTGACAGATCGCATACCATCGATCCAAGGCAATGCAACTCAGGGTGAGGACAGACACAGACACTGACACGGTCTAGAGAAAAAAAGAGCATAGCAAAAGAGAAGCACCAGGTGTTAAATGGATCACTCGACATTTTTACCGTATTAGAAAGGTAATCACAATAGATAACCATGTTTGAGGTTGCCAAAAAGCATTTCATGCAAGTACTTTCTATTAAAAAAAAACTCCACCAAAAAATAGTATTGAAATATATTAGGAAAATATACTTCCTATTAAACATGAAGAAGATGCTATGAAAACATTACAATCTTTTTTATGCAAAATCTTCTATAATATGGCATTTTTTTAATAATTACTATCGTTATTTTGTCTTGAAACTTTTCCATTGATAGGGAAAATCACATCCTCAAATGGAAAAAATAAAACACATATATTTAGTCTGAACGGGAAATCTCTCTTTCACTTAGAGAGAATAAGAGGACATGTCTTTCTTTCGAATTATCATATAGAAATTTGATTGCAATTGCATTTAATTGGGATTTTTGAATTTTGAGTATCTCATTTCATATTTTCAGATAACAATGGCTATTTGTACACCAGTTCATTTCCAACATATTGCACCCAAAGGAAAGCGTGAATCATGTTAAAAGAGAATTCTGTATATGGATCTCCTTACCGTAGTTTGCTCATTGCTAGTATAAACAACTTGCCTTTAAAATCCAAATAAGTTCACCTCATTCAGATTTCCATGTAATTAACAACACCACAAATGATACTTGAACTTGGAACTTAAGGAAATAGTAAAGAAATGTGTTAAGTACACCTATACCCACACGATCAGTTTATGCAGTTATGTCTACTGGAGTCTCCTATACCGGATGAACCACTGATTCTGGTACCACTCTCCAAATCCCATCTTTAAAAAAGAAACCTCATTCTCCTTTCTGTTATTTTTTTATTAGAGATTTGTATTTCCTTTCCTCTCAGTAATTATCACATAGTACAATTATTTTGTTTAATACATTTGTTTATTTTCTGTTTTCTCTATTGGAACAAAGCTCTATGGCAGGAGGGGCTGCTATTATGTTGCTTGTTTTGGGTTTTGTTTTTTTTTCCCCACAACAATGTCCCCTGTACCTGGCACAGTGTTTGATTTGCTTAATAAATAGTTTTTTTAAATTAATGAAGAGTTGTAAGCCTCAATGTAAGGTATTAGCTGTGGTCCAGTCATCCTCCTCGTTTTCTGTCCTAGTTTTACTCATGCCATAACGTGGAAGGGCGGGAATCTCTGCTTCTTACATCAGGACCTTCCCGGTTGATGCATTGACTGTAGGTGCACATGGGTGGAAGAATCTTGGAGCCAGTGCTGCACAGGAGAAAGGGCTCTGGATAAGCATTAGCATGACCTATCTCTTCTCACGCTCCCACCAGCCAGCTGTGCAATGTGGGGTCACCCAGTTTACAGCTTTAGGCCTAAGGTGTATGTATTGTCATTTTTTCTCCTGAATGAGTGGAATCGACAAGATAAGATTCTTGCCACTCTCATTCGTTTGACTCTTTCTGAGAAACTCAGCAGAGTATAATTGGAATCAATTCTGCATCCAGGTTTCCTGGGTATGAATCCCATCTCACTTCATAGATGTGTGATCTTGGGTGAGTTATTTAACTTCTCTATGCCTCAGTTTTGTCATCTGTAAAACTGGGTGATAACAGAACACAACCATGGAATTGTAGGGGAATCAGTTGAGATGTGAAATGCCTAGCCCAGGGTTGGCACACACATGCTGTGTGCTTGTTGTTTCTCACTTTGCTTATGGTGATGAAAATGATCCTTACACTATTAGTTTCCTCTTCCATCCTCAAGCTTTTAATAGGAGCAGACTGATTTTTGGTGAAGAATAGTCATAGGAATCACAAATAAAGGTATAAACTATGCTAAATTCTTGGAGGTTAACTACATTTTAAGTGTAATCTTAAAGTGCTGAGCTCTATCAGAGTTGGCTTAGGTTGGCTGATGATTCTTGGGAATTCCATGGCACTATCTTAGAGTGCATTCAAGTCTCCTTCTCGAATCAATCTCCTTTCTCTCCCAACCTCCATTTCTTCTTTCCCTGCAAATATGCCAAGCACCCTGGACCCCACAATACTATTGCTAATTTGAGAATAGAACTGTGGCAGTCTAGATCTGCATGGTTGACTTTTCACAGTTGCTGGGCCAGGGCTATATTCATCCAATCTAGCAATTAGAAGTGTAAAATGTTCAACAAGGCTGAGTGATTTACTATTCATGAATTCTAATCTACATGGGTGAATGGGATAGAAGTAGCATGGTTCAAATTCAAAAGTCATTTCTAGTATTTCCCTCTATTATTAGACAGTAATAATGAATTCAAAACACTTCATATGAAAGACTGCCATCCAGTGCCAACAGTGAGCCAAGGTGCGATGCCTTCTCTGTTTGTGGCAACATGAGAGAATATGCTGGTCTGGTTAATCTAACAGCACAATCCATTGAATGGACCCTTGGCAATCAATAATTTAATATTCAATGTTTGATTACTATATTTGCTGCTGTATGGTACACACACATCCAATTTATAAGATTTTCTTGGCGGGGACGTAAAATTGCGTCTTATCATAAGTTACTATAAATGAGAGTTTGTTGCCGTTTTTCACTTCTAGGAGTGTACTTCTGGGTACTTTTTTCATTTAGATGTTGATGCAAACTCAAATTGACCTGATTGTAAGTCATTTGAGAAATGAATCTAGTAGGGAGTATGAATGTTGTGAATGAAGTAGATGAGATGATGTGAACTTCTCCTGCTGTCAGGCGCTTGACCTCTCACCCATATTATGGGCACCTTGTGGTCAGGGAAATGTTGAAGATTTTCTCCGGCAGAGAATGAGTCTGTTTTATGCTACACATAGATATGACAAAAGGAGACCCTCAGAGATCCATGACAAGTAGAAATGGAAAGTTTGCCATATCACAGATTTGAATGACAGGTCCTAATAGACTGGAAGGTAGGACAGTGTGACTGAGAGAGCGAGGGATCCTCTCCGACCACCCAGCACGCACCACTCACATCTCAGTTGGCTTTTGTTCTTCTTTTCCTAGTATTGCCTGTGCAGAGCCTCTTCTGCACTTAAAAAAGAAAAGTTGGGCCAGCCCGTGGCCCAGTGGTTAAAATTTGCACACTCCACTTCGCAGCCTGGTTCGGATCCTGGGCAAGGACCTACTCCACTATCAACCATGCTGTGGAGGCATCCCACGTACAGAATAGAGGAAGTCTGGGACAGCTCCTAGCTCAGGGCTAATCTTCCTCCAGCAAAAAAACAGGAAGATCAGCAATGGATGTTAGCTTAGGGTGAAACTTTCTCACCAAAAAAAAAAAAAAAGTCACTCTGTAAAAGTAGCCAACTACTCTTGTGTAAGAAAAATAAAATATATTATAATTTCCCAAGAAATTCATGATAATTATTCAGCAAATTGCCCAATAAATGTTAATGGCCTTGGATTTATAGAATTATTAAAGTTACAAAAGCATTACTTTAATTATTCAGCTAAGCTTTATTATATCTGTGAGATTTTGCAGATTTTTGAGCATATGCCGAAGGGTTGTAGTGTTTCACTCATAAATCTAAAGGTTGTATTCTGTTTAGAAGAAAGAGAGCATATAAATAATAGAAAATGAGTAAGTATCCAAAGAATCTTTAAATGAAACTTTAAACACTCATCTTTAAATGAGTATTTGGTGATATGTTTTTGATTATTCAGTAGGACATAAGCATCCTATCAGGGACAAAAGCAACCAGTTTCAGAACACCACAGCTAAGGGAAAATGTACTCCAATTTAAGTGATTGGCTTCTTGCCCATTGGCACTGTTCATTCTATTTGGAAAAAGTCTATAGAAAATGGACAATAAATATTGATAGAATTTAGAGATACTAGCTTTACCAGTGCACCCATAGTTTTGCACATTTACAACTTTCCATCAAGAACTAACGTTGAATGAGGTAATGAATGGACCTAGTCTGTTCCATCTGCCTCAGATCTTGTGGTTACTCGGTAGCTTTCTCCTTGGCTGATGGAGAAGGGGATCAACTGAGGAGTTAACTAGAGTGGACTTTGTTTACGGAGAAGCAGATAGAATCTATCAGAAGATGAAGATGATCCTTCAGCTGTAGGACTTGTTAACAAGTTGTGCAGTGTGAAAGAATATTGTCAATAACTTTAGGAGCATCATGTCCTGCACTCCATGCCCAGCATTGCTCACTGGTTGCCCTCTCGAGGATCTGTCGAGTGCTCGTAGGAGAATCTGGAATGCCAGGTCTATAAAAAAGTATCACTGTGGATTAGAGCAGGACTGCACCTACCACAGGGTGATGCATCCTTCCCTCATTACCCCACTGTCTACTGGTGGGGGGAATCTTCTGGTTCATAGAGAGAGCATGAAATATTTTCAGCTAATAGAAGATTCTGAACAACTGAAGCCAGCTTGAAACTTAAGAGGATCTCCAAAATTTCTCCCTGGGTGGTTACTGGAACCAAGAGAAACAAAAGTCTTGCTGGAAGTACCATAGATGGTGAAATATTAGAATTCTCTGCTATTTATGATTTCCCCAGTGTCTCCATGCAAACACCATAAGATCCATTTCTAACTGATTATTTACTGTGAGGATAATTTTCTCTGTTGCTCAATGTACTATTTCTCTCAAAAATTTTGCTACAGTTTATTTTGGTAACCCATTCATGGTTTTCAGCCGACTGACATAAACTAAACTTATAGTTAAACTTCATATTTGCAACAAAGCTTATAACTTCCATGGCATTTTTCATTTACTGTTCTACCAATGATGTCTGACCTAAAAAATTATCACTTCTCTTTATAAGAGGTCATTGAAGAACTATCGAGAAAAACATCTCTCTGTAACATTTTAGATCCAAAAGCCTAATCAATGTAAGTTTTAGTAATGGGCTTTTGTGGTCTCCCCCAACTTTTGTTTTTGTTAAGACTTTATTTTTTGGACTACTTTTAAGATCACAGCAAAATTGAGGAGAAGGTACAGACATTTCCCATATACCCCCTGACCCCACATATACATGGCTTCCCCTATTATCAATATCCCCTACCACAGTGGTACATCTGCTGCAATTGATGAATCTACATTGTCACATCATAATCACCCAAAGTCCACAGTTTACTTTACAGTTCACTCCTGGTATGGTACATTCTATGGGTTTGGACAAATGTTTAACAATATGTGTCCACCATTATAGTATCATACATTATAGTGCCTTAAAAATTCTCTATGTTCTGCCTATTTATGCCATCCCTTCCAATCCCTGGCAACCACTGATCTTTTTACTTACTCCATAGTTTTGCCCATGCCAGAATGTTATATCATTGGAATCATACAGTATGTAGCCTTCTCAGCTTGGCTTCTTACACTTTGTAACAAGCATTTAAGTTTCCTCCATGTCTTTTCATAGCTTGAGAGCTCAATTATTTTTTTTAGGACTGAATAATAGCCTACCGTCTGGATGTACCACAGTTTATTTATCTATTCATTTACCGAAGGACGTCTTGGTTGCTTCCAAGTTTTGTTAATTATGAAAAAAGCTGCCATAAGCATTTATATGCACATTTTTTTTTGTGTGGACATGTTTTCAGCTCCTTTGGGTAAATACCAAGAAGTGCATTCTGGACCATATGGTGGGACTGTGTTTAATTCTATAAGAAACCACCAAATTGTCTTCCAAAGTGGCTGTACCATTTTTCATTCCCACCAGCAATGAATGCTCCACATCCTCACAAGCATTTGGTATTGTCAGTGTTCCAGAATTTGGCCATTCTAATAGGTGTGTAATGGTATCTCATTATTGTTTTAATTTGCAGTTTGCTGGTGACATATGATGAGGAGCATCTTTTCATATACTTCTTTGCCATCTGCATATCTTCTTTGGTGTGGTATTTAAGGTCTTTGACCCATTTTCTAATTAGGTTGGTGTTTCCTTATTAATGAGTTTTAAGTGTTCTTTGTATATTAGGTAACGGTCCTTTATCAGAAATGTCTTTTGCAAATATTTTCTTCCAGTCCGTGACTTGTGTTCTCATTCTCTTTGACATTGTCTTTCACGGAGCAGAAGTTTTTAATTTTAATGAAGTCAGCTTATCAATTATTTCTTTGCAAGATGATGCCTTTGGTGTTGTATCTAAAAAGTCATCAACACACCCTAGGTCATCTAGATTTCCTCAGAACTATGTTATCTACTAGGAGTTTTATACTTTTGTGTTTTACATTCAGGTCTATGATCCCTTTTGAGTTACTTTTTGTGAAAGATGTAAGGCGTGTGTCTAGATTCATTTTTTGGCATACCAATGTCCAGTTGTTCTACCTGCACCAATTTTCATTACTGGAAGCATATTTTTATTTCCACCAAATATCATGGACACAGTCTAAGAGAATGGATGGAATAAGGACTGGTGAGTGGAGGATGGTTTCGGGAAGACAAGTAGAGAGTGGCCACCATTTCCCTCATTTCCAATTGCTAAAGGGAATCCATGTCCTTGAGTACTGTGGCTGTGGTTGTTAGCTTGGGAAATTTTTTTCAAAGGTTTTAGAGCTATCAGAATATAAATCAGAAAATTACTCTCTGAAAGTATTTGTTCTTAATTTCTCATAGGGCAATTAGTTATAGAAAAGCTGCTTTCACCATTGAACAATGAAACGTCTAATGATGATGAGGGTGGTGACTAACATTTATTCAGAACATACTATGTTTCCATAAAATCATCATTTTTCAGAGAGTAATCACTTTGCCAAGAGATTTATATAAATTATCTGAGTAAACTATTGTAACAACCTTAGGAGATAAGTGTAATTAAAATTATTATCCTTTTTAAATCGGTGAACTGCAAAGAGCTTATGTATTTGGCTTGATAGCATACAAATGGTGAATGCAGAACAGAGATTCCAAATCTAGCAGTTTGACTCAGAACCTGCACTAAAACCTGTCTTACTGTATTGCTTTGATCACATAGCTCTTAATTTCTCAGTACGAAATGAAACTACTTATAAAAACAGATAACTCTCAATTATTTGGGCTAGGAGAGGCTCAACAATCAATTTGTTCAAATTCTTTATTTTATAATCAGAAAATTAGAGATCAAAGAAGTGAAAGGTTTGTGCAGCATCCAATGATGACTTGAGGATTCTGTTGTTTTATTTTTGCCAAGAACTTAACTCATTTACCCAGAAAGTCTCAAGTATTATTTTTCTTAAGTTTGCCAATTTCTTAGGCAAGTATATTTCTTTCTTAGCTCGTTAGTTAATTTATTAGAGGGCCATGACTATAATTGAAAATAGTTTCAGAAGCCTTTGTGTTTGAACCAAAAAACTGTGAGAAAGAATTACCTGTAAGTAAGGAATCACTTTACAGAGGGACTGTCCAAAGAACCAGGTCTCAGTGATGTCCACAACCAACGTGGCTGGAAGGCAGGTGATGGTCACGAGCACGTCAGCCAGAGAAAGATTGACTATGAAGTAGTTGGTTACCGTCCTCATGTGGTGGTTTTTCCACACTGCCACACAAACTAATTTGGAAAGAAAAAGGAATAGTAACTGTTATGGATGAACGTTTGTGTCCCCCCCAAGTTTACATGGTGAAATCCTAACTCTCAATGTGATAGTATTAGGAGGTGGGCCCGTGGGAGGTGACTGGGTTGTGAGGGTAGAGCCCTCATGAATGGCATTAATGCCCAGATAAAAGGGACCCCAGAGAGATCACTCACTCCTTCCACCATGTGAAGATACAGAGAAAAGGCAGCTGTCTCTGAACCAGGAATCAGCCCCTCACCAGGCACTGAATCTGCCAGTGACTTGATCCTGAACTTCTCAGCTTCCAGAACCATGAGAAATAAATTTATGTTGCTTATAAGCCACTCAGTTTATGCTTTTCTCTTATAGCAGCCCAAACTGACCAAGACAGTAACTAAAGAAAGAAAATATGTACTGATGAAGAAACACTGCCAAGCTAATTAATACGCCTATAAAATCTACAAATAAATATTGAACAGGAAAGATAATTGATGGCTGTGCTGTGTCTTCACTGAATCAGTCAATCTGTGTGGAAGCTAAATACATGCTTAACGTCAGTTCATTCACCACACAATGCACTTCTCAATGGATTATAAGGCTGTGTTTACTTTTACTTGGTTCTGAATTGTAATTCCCAGAGGTTAAAGAACAATCTTCGATTCTTCTTTCTGTTCCCTCAGTGCTCAGCATGTAGGAGACAGTCAAGAAATTTTTACCGAATTGAGATGAATCAGGAGCTAGGTATTTTCAGTAAACTGTGGTTTGCCTCATCTATGAAGTTCACCCTTATCTGCTCACAAACCCTGCATTTGGAACCTTTAAAAGATGAAGAGGTTTAAAAGACAAAAGTCAGTAATTATTTAGCCCTTATTATTGCCAAATACTGAGCTAGATGGTTCATATGCTTGGATTGTTTAGTTTTGATAACAATCCCAAGGGAAGACCTCATTACCAACATTTTATACATGAGGTAACCGAGACACAGGGAATTCATGGAACTTGTCTAAGGACAAATGGCTCACAAAGCACAGAACTACAGTCATAACTGGGATGAAACAGCAAGTGAAGGGCTGGTCTTTTCACCACATGGGTTGCCTTCCTTTGTGAAAATGAAAGAGTTATAACAAAGCACGTATAAATTCTAGAAACTCAATCTTCTCTCCTTTCTATTACTCTTAATGGCCTCCAAACACCAACTTAAATCAAACATACTTTTCAATACTTTCACAATCAGGCGTTCTTCACTGCCTTTCAGGACATCCTCACGTTTAAAAGCTGTGCTATCTCATTCAGTTGCTCTTTACGGAAAGAACATCCAGTTCCTTGATTCTCTGTCCTCCTCCTGTCTGGTGTATCCAACGGTTACATAATCACTGGCTGCAGGATTCTATAGGTGTTAGCACTGCTGCCCACATTAATTGATGGCTTTGCTTCACTGAAAGTAGCTGTGAGTTTGCCTGGGGTATCATTAACCTGTCAGAGCTGTCACCTAGGCACCCAAATAATGCAGTGACTAGTAACCCTATATAGTGAAGAAATAAAAGCACATTTTGTTACACTTGTCACTGAATGAAGATTTCTTTTTGACAATTATGTACCATTTATTAAGAGTTTCATATGTTGAAAAACACTTCTACTAGCTCCTGAAGCTGAAATTACCCTTCAGTCACTAACAGATACTCATTTAATAAAATACTTGAATTTCTGAGGATTTAATTTTGAAAACTTCACATCTTCCTCTAACTCCAAAAACTCAAGTAAGCTTTATTAGGGTAAGCTACAATCTTTATTATCTGAAAATGATGCTACTGAATTATTTATTGCTCAGAAACTCTTGAAACCCATACACACACAAACCCATCCTGGCAGTTGACTAACACGTCATCACAGCTTGTTATGAGAAAATTGACAAAAGTATCCCACTGCTGATATTTGGTCAATAAATGGTAGAAATGGTATTATTTCCGATCTAGAAAAGAAAATAAGACTTTAAAAAATAGAACCAGTTCTAGCAGTGATGGGAAAACAGTGTTAACACATTATGTCCAAACAATATGAAAGCAAGTAAATTTTCAGCCAACACTTCTATGCTACTTGTTTTGCACCAGGCCCTGCTCTAAGCAATTTAAATTATTAACTAGGTTAATCTTCATAATAACACTGTAAAGTGATTACTATTACTATCCCTCAGTTTAACAGACGGGAAACTGAGGCTAGAGAGGTTATGGAACCCACCTAAGACAAATAGCCAGACATAGCTAATAGTAAGCACCAGAGCTTGGACTGAAATCTTATCTACCATGCCATGCATTCCATTATACCCTTTATGGAAGCAAAAGATGAAAAGGAAGACGCCACCCTCATTTGACAAGACTTTAACACAAGTTTGTAGAATTTTGGAGTGGGAGATCATCCAGTCTAGCTTGCCATCTGGTGAATATGTCACCTCTGCAACATCCCTGATCCATCCTTCTTGAACATTTGTAAGCGTAGGGAATTCACGACCTGCTAAAGCAGTTGAATTCATTTTGCAGTGGCTTTAACTACTAGCAGGTTTTTGTTTATCTTGAGTTGGTATCTCCTTCCCTTTCATTTCTGCTCATGGATTCTTAATCTTTCCTGGAACCCAAGGAATAAACCTTCTCTATTTTTTCTACATTGTACCTGTATTAGTTTCCTAGTGCTGCTGTAACAGAGTGCCACAAATTGGGTGTCTTAAAACAACATAAATTTATTACCTCACAGTTCTGGAGGCTGGCAATCCAAAATGAAGGTGTCAGCAGGGCTAGGATCCCTCTGAAACCTACAGAGAAAACCTTCCTTGACTCCCTCCTAGCTTCTGGTGGTTTGCTGGTTATCTGATATTCTTCGGCATGCAGTTACCTAACTCCATTCTCTACCTGCATCATCACATGACATTCTCCTCTGTTCCTGTCTTCAAATCGCTGTCTTCTTATAAAGTCACCAGGTATATTGGATTAGGGGCCCTCTCCACCCCAATAAAACTTCATCTTAGCTAATTATATCTGCAGTGACCCTATTTTGAAATAAGGTCACATTCTGAGGTACGAGGGGTTAGCACTTCAACATCTTTTTTTGAGGGGACACAATTCAATCCATAATGATGTCCTCTGGCCCCTAAAAATTTATGTGCTTCCCACATGCAAAATCCATTCACTCATCACAACAGCCTCAAAGTTCTTAATCCATTCCAGCATCAACTCTAAATCCAAAATCTCATCTAAAACTGGTCTACATCAAGAATGGGTTACATTTGGAGTATGGTGTTTCCCAAGGCAAAATTCCTCTCCATCTGTGGACCAGTGAAACCTAGAAAATAATTGTCTTCTTCTAAGATGCAATAGTGGGACAGGCATAGGGGAGACTTTCCCATTCTAAAGGGAGAAATTGGAAGGAAAAAGGGGTCACTGGTCTAAAGCGAGTTTGCAACTCAGCAGGGAAAATTCCATTAGGTTTTAAGGCTTAAGAATAATTCTCTGTGGCTTAATGCTCTCTTGTCCTAGCTCAGCAGGCTGGTGGCCACAACCTCTCAACCCTGAGTGTTGGCCCTGGCCTCTGGAACCTGTAGGGAAATCTTTCCTTGCCTCTTCCTAGCTTCTGGTGGTTTGCTAGGAATTTTTGGCATTCCTTAGCTTGCAACTGTATAATGCCAATCTCTGCCTTCATCACTGCATGGCGTTCTTCTGGGTCTCTATCTTCAGGTGGCCATCTTATTAAAGGACGCCAGGCATATTGGATTCAAGGCCAGCCCTGCTCCAGTATGACTTCATCTTAACTAATTATATTTGAAATAAAGTTACATCCTGAAGTAGTGAGGGTTAGGACTTTGTCATTTCTCTTTGTGTTGTACAACCCATAACAGTAGTCATTCAAATATTTAAAGACCACAGCTGTGTCCATACCCCAACCCTCTGCCTTCTCAGGCTAAATATCTCCAGAATCCTCGCACGCAACTGCAGCATTTTGCATGCCACCTCACCCTTTTATTCTGTACACACTCCAGATTATCAGTAAATGATCCATCTGTAGCTGCACACACATTTCCAGGTGCTGCCTAACCAGGGCAGCAAAGAACTGGATGATTATTTTGGTCAGTATCTCTCTATTAAGACAGACAGAGATCTTATTAGCTTTCTTTACAGTCAAGTCATACATTTTGGATCGCACATATATACAATTACTAGAAATTGGTTCCCTGGTGTAGATATTTCTTTACCATTGAGTCTTGGGGCTAAAAAAAGAAGGGAAAAAAAGAAATCTATAAAGAAGATTATTGTGGCAATTGGAGAAATTTGAATTTGGACTTCATATTAGATAATATTACTGTGCTATTTTAAAATACCTTAAGTATGGAGTTCACATTATATACATTCCAATATGAAGACCACAGCTATGCCTGTGTCTCAGGACTTCACTTCTCTGGGGTAAACAGCATCAGACCCTTCACAAATAATAGCAGGATTTTCTCTCTCATCACCCTGGTCTCTTTATTGTGAAAATGCTGCAGACTACCGGTAGATCTCTCTAAATGAGTATCCAGAATCACACACACATCTTCAGCTGCATCTCTCCTAAATTTGTGCTGAACAAATATCCATTTGTTCAATCACCCATTCAAAGCATTAAAGGCCCAAGGTGAACACCACTTTCTCCTGATAGGACATCAAACTTATGCAAAGTTAAACTCACCATCTTTTCCTATATTCTCAGTCTGGATTTTATATTTCTCTGAAGTATAAGGACCTTCCTTTTTCTTCCCAGTACCTATGTTTGAAATCCCCCCAATATCTCCTACGTCCATAGTTTCTTATTCCTACTGCAAATACCCAGATTGTTGAACCATTAGCTACAGTATTGCAATGACCCTTCTATTAGTTCTTCCTGTACCCTGCCTATCTTTACTTCTACCCATTTCAACAGAATCTCTCCTTTCCTCCATCATTAAGTACAAAATCCTCAAATAGTCATTCTACTATTAAATTCTAGTTGAACGTTCCCCCGTATCTTGCAATGTTGCCCATAAACTGGGCATTGCTAATGCCATTCATCTGTTTGGAAATAACCATACTCCATTTCAACCCCTTTTTGAGCTACTTAAATCCTACCAAAACCATCCCAAACCAATCAAACCAAAAAGTTTCTGTTTCACAAAATCTCTCTTAATTAGCCTAACTCCACATGACTTCTTTCTTTTTAAAAATCCTATTACATGTTGTATCTTTCCTGGTCACAAATCATATTCTAAAATTATTATGGATTGTTATGGACATTTGTTTTTTGTTTTCTTATTTCCCTACTGGTACAACGGCTGTTTATCATTTTGAGCTGGGCTTTTTCTTCCTCCTACTCTTCTTGGTTTCTATAGCTTTTCTCCCAATACAAATACTCCCTGGAACATACTTTGCAATAAGTGAACATTCACGGCATTGATTTGTTTGTAATTACAATATGTTGCCACCATGGGCATGGTACATTTACCCACGAGCTTCTTGAAAAGGAGAGAAAAACCCCAACGTCTGAATAGCGTGTTTATTTTCTTCATTCCTTTGGACAAAGTCTGACAGATGACAGAGAATTTAGTTGCTTGTCAATTATTCTCTTGGCTCTCAATTCTCCATACACCACTTTCTGATGAGCTTTGGAAGGTCCCTACACATGAACTGGGTACTACTCTTGAAATCAGTTCTCTGAATAATCATGATACTCTGATATTAAAGTCCATTTGCAGCTAGTCCGCATGTAAGAGTGTGCCTCCATTGTCCAGGAACAACTGGGGACTAATTGAGCACATGGGGTGAAAGGAGATAACAGGAAGTAGGAATGCAGTCAATGAAGCTCCACCTCCAATACAGACTTTATTGAAACCCACATTTCTGAGATGCAGAGGTGCCAAGAAGATAAAAATTCATTTATTCCTTTCTCTCTCACCCGCTCATTTGGTTTACCATCTCTTCTTCTGTAAGAATCTGATGACAAAGCTCCTGTCTTTTCTCTGCAGAACTGACAGATGGAAAAGTGCCTCAAACTCTGTGGGAACATCTGCAACTTGTGATGCAAAGTGGGATATTTAAAATAATATATAGATATAATCTTCAGGAATAACCTAGGCTATTTTCCTATTGTTGTATGGGCCGAAGATTAACTGACTTTCAAATGGGAGAGGAAAATACTAGTTTAAAAAATGTCTTTGCCATTTTAATCTGCACTTATAATAAACTGGCTTTTATTTTAATATCTATCAGATCCATTTATGGACAAAGTTACTTTCTCTGTCAAATCAATACTTTCAGTTGGAGAAACATAGACTAAGGTGATAGACTGTTAATCTGTTGGTGATACGACTTAAGAACATGTACACGACACAGGTGATATTGCATCTCTCATTAAACATACACTTAGGTCTTGAAATGTCAGCTAGTTGATATTATGATATCAAGAAGTGACTATGCGTGGTGTATAATTAGTGTGTTACCAAGTATCTTGAAAAGATCTGTACTAAGTATATCAATTTTATATTAAGCATTTTCAAATTTACTTAATTTTTGTAACATTAAAACAAGGTATAGATGTTATGCTAAATGAAATAAGCCAGATGCAAAAGGACAATGATTGCGTGATTCCGCTGATGGAAAGTAGGTAGCGTTGTCAAATCCATTAAGATGCAGAGCAAAGTGAAGGTCTCCAGGAGCTGGGAGGAGGGGAGAATGGGATGTCATTGTTTAAAGGGAACAGAGTTTCAGTTTTGGAGGATGAAAATGTTCTGGAGAGGGATGGTGGTGAGGGTTGCCCAACAATGTGAACGTACTTAATGCCAGTGAACCGTACACTTAAAATTGATTAAAAACGGTAAATGAAAAAAGGGAATATACAATGGAAAATAAAACTTTTGAACCAATAATGATGTCACTCAAAAATCTTAAACACATGTGGCCGGCCCAGTAGTGCAGTGGTTAAGTTCGCACGTTCCGCTTTGGCAGCCCAGAGTTTGCCAGTTTGGATCCCGGGTGTGGACATGGCACTGCTTGGCACGCCATGTTGTGGTAGGCATCCCACATACAAAAAAAGAGTAGAGGGAGATGGGCATGGATGTTAGCTCAGGGCCAGTCTTCCTCAGCAAAAAGAGGAGGATTGGCAGCAGTTAACTCAGGGCTAATCTTCCTCAAAAAAAAAAACTTAAACACAGAATGAAAATGCCAGGGAACAATCTTAATTACTCATTTTATGAATTTTTTAAAATCATGAACAGCTAAAACAGTGAAAGAAAAGACAATTATTTAAAAATACTATAAAAATTCACATATATAATTTATATTTATATGATGAATATATTTATATAAATAATAAAAATTAAAAATATATAGTAATTTATATAAATATATAAAGTAATTTATATTTATATAATTTGCATTTATACATATATATAAAACATATAAATACTATAAAAGTTCCAAAATATTAATGGTGGTGTCAAAGACAACTATGTGATTTTTAAATACAATTTCAATTATTTGTTTGTAAAATCAAAGTATTGTTGACAGTAACTTGTAATATTATAATTTAGACATCTTAATGAAAGATTGTGCAGTTTCTTGGTTTTGTTAACTACATATCCATGTATATCGATACATAAGATGACAACTCCTTGATTGTTATTTGTTATATTACACACATATAAAATGGTAAATATGTCAGGAAACAATGTAAAAACATAAGCAACAACTTTGAAAAACATCTTAAAAAATATTGTAATTCCACCTTTTGCCACAAAGTGTCACTGAAAGGCTTTGAAACTGCTTACCTAGTCACTTCAGGTATAAATTTTAAGAATTAATTGTAATATTCTTTATAATATAGAAAGAAATGTATTTATTTCAAGTGGGATTTTCTAAACAATCCTTAAGAAAGGATAAAATGGTCACCTTCTAAATTAAATACAAATAAGTGAGTTAAGGTGAAATAAAACGATTTTTCTAAATGGAAAACAACAGCAAAGAAAGCAATGGAATACACTTGGAAGGCAGACTATATTCAACCCCCGTAAGGAATCTATCTTGAAAGCAGGTCATGGAGTAGAGTCATCCAGAATCATGACACTGTGCAGATTTAAGAAGCAGGGCAGTTGGGACTGGCCTGGTGGTGTAGTGGTTAAGTTGGTGCACTCTGCTTCCTGGCCCAGGATTCGCGGGTTCAGATCCTGGGCACAGACCTGCATGCTGCTCACCAAGCCATGCTGTGGAGGTGTCCCACATGCAAAATGGAGGAAGATTGGCATAGATGTTAGCTCACCCACAATCTTCCTCAAGCAAAAAGAGGAGGATTGACAATGGATGTTAGCTCAGGGCCAATCTTCCTCACCAAGAAAACAAACAAAAAGAATCAGGGAAGTTGACTATTGGTGTAGTCCTAAAAAAAGTAAAACAAATTCTCCTCAAAATCCTGAGGTATTTTCCTTTTTCCCATCTTCATTTCATCCCACCACTTGGGCCTTCACCCTCTTTTCTATTGTTGATTTTGCCTCCTCCTCTTCCTGGGCCAATATGCCAATCTGCCTGACTTGATGTCCCCTTCTCCACCCCAACACCTTGGCAAGGTTGTCTGTGAATGTCTTTCTGTGCTCAGAAGAACAGCAGGTAAACATGCTACTTCCTTTTTACAAGTCTGACAGAGGGACACTGCCAAGAACCACATTTGTGGCATAAAATTTGCCACCCAAAAGGTTATATTTTCTCACGAAAATATAAAAGTCTACAATTTGAGAAATATGTTTTCATTGGCACCTGCTCATTATGTTAACATAGGCAGTAATTCTCATGGAGACTAATGATGTCACTGTGGTGTTGACACCAGTGAGGCAGTGTGGGAATAATGAAGACACCACAATTAATAATTCATCTGGGAAGGGATTTAGAAAGACAGTATCTTCACACACGGAAATGTGCAGGGAGAAACTGCGCATAGATGAATGTTATGAAACAGAAACGCAAAGGAGATAATAATTCAAAGGAATCAAGTCCAAAAAGTTTTTTCAGAGAGGAAAAATATAGTGAGGAAAGTGAGAAACTGGGCTTGGCTTATCAGCTCTCTGTGAGTGGCACGATTCCTCTCGGGGGTGCTCAACCTCCTCGGTGCCAAGGCTTCTGTACAAGAGCTGCCCCCGACCACAACAGCCCTGTTATTAGTAGGTATTTCTAGGGCTTTAAGCTGGCCTGTGGACAAGGTTAGAAGGGTGGAAGGCTCCATGGCCTTAGCATCTGCAGCTCTAGTAATGGCTACATCTAGTAGCTGTAATTTCAGTTCAATGGAATTTGTTTAAGGGGGAAATATTAACTTCCTGGTTACTCATGTCTTTTCACTCTTTACAGGTAAATCACTACAAGGGCTTGTCCCCAGTGCAGGCTCTCAGAATTGCGTCTGGATCTCTAGCCTGCCCTCAGAGCTGTTCAGCGACATATGGTCAGTCCTCATCTTCAATCCCTTTACACTAATGAACACACCCAAGCAAACTATCCTTCTCATGACTTTGGCTTCTGTTTATGTTACTGCCTGCAATGAACTTATTTTTTGGTCTCCTTTGCAGAAAAACTCTCCCTCTTTCATCCTTTATATTCTCCAATCCTTTTGGTTTTTTTTCTTCCTTCTTTGTTATTATTTACACTCACAACTAATTCTCATTTCTAGCAGACTAATTCCCAAAGTTTTGACTCTGGTTCTTGGCTCTCTCTCTTGCTTTCCACACCAAAATTTGTATTTTTCCATTCTAGATGTTGCATCTTTACTTCATACTTAACTCATGAATCATGA